ACCTATGATGAAAATTACAGGCCTCTCTCATCTTTTTAAGTGGGAGAACTTGCACAATTGGTGGCTGACTAAATACTTTTTTTCCCCACTGTATAAGAGGTCATAAATTACAATGCGTTTTGTAGTAATTCCTATGTTGATGATGTAAAGAATATTTGCTGGTCTGTGGTGTGTAATGAGGAGTAACCAGACGCTGCACTTGACACATTTATGAAATTGCTTACTCCAGTTACTAATAAGCATGCACCTATTAAGAAAATGACTGTAAAAACTGTTAAACCCCTGTGGATTGATGAGGAATTAAAAAAATTGTATGGGTGAGAGGGATGAGGCAAAAGGAATGGCAAATAAGTCTGGCTGCACAAACGATTGGCAAACGTACTGCGAATTAAGAAATCATGTGACTAAACTTAATAAAAATAAAGAAGAAACTATACTATGAAACAAAGATAATTGATATAAAGAATGATAGTAAAAAGCTTTGGAGCACCTGAAATTTAAGGTGACAATGACAAGCCACCTTTACTGAGGATAACAGCAGACGATATTGCCACTCCTATTTGCCATATCTTCAATCTAAGCCTACAAGAAAGTGTGTGCCCTCAGGCCTGGAGGGAAGCAAAAGTAATTCCGCTACCCAAGAATAGTAAAGCCCCATTTACTGGCTCAAATAGCTGACCAAATCAGCCTGTTACCAACCCTTAGTAAACTTTTGAAAAATGTGTGTTTGACCAGATACAATGCAATTTTACAGTAAACAAAATGACAGACATTTACATATTAGTCATTTAGCAGACGCTCTTATCCAGAGCGACTTACAGTTAGTGAATGCATACATGTTTTTTTGTTTGTTTTGTTTTTTGTCATACTGGCCCCCCGTGGGAAACGAACCCACATCCCTGCCGGCCAAACCCTCCCCTACCTTGGACCAATTGTGCGCCGCCCATGGGTCTCCCGGTCGCGGCCGGCTGTGACAGAGCATGGACTCGAACCAGGATCTCTAGTGGCACAGCTAGCACTGTGATGCAGTGCCTTAGACCACTGTGCACACTTATAGGGAAGGACATTCAACAAGCATGGCACTTACACAAATGACTTTTTGGCTGAGAGAAATTGATGATCAAAAGATTGTGGGAGCTGTTTTGTTAGACTTCAATTTGGCTTTTGACATTATCGATCATAGTCTGCTGCTGGAAAACGCATATATTATGGCTTTACACCCCGTGCTATATTGTGGATAAAGAGTTACAGTTGAAGTCGGAAGTTTACATACACTTAGGTTGGAGTCATAAAAACTCATTTTTCAACCACTCCACACATTTCTTGTTAACAAACTATAGTTTTGGCAAGTCGGTTAGGACATCTACTTTGTGCATGACAGAAGTAATTTTTCCAACAATTGTTTACAGACTGATTATTTCACTTATAATTCACTGTATCACAATTCCAATGGGTCAGAAGTTTACATACACTAAGTTGACTGTGCCTTTAAACAGCTTGGAAAATTCCAGAAAATGATGTCATGACTTTAGAAGCATCTGATAGGCTAATTGACATCATTTGAGTCAATTGGAGGTGTACCTGGGGATGTATTTCAAGGCCTACCTTCAAACTCAGTGCCTCTTTGCCTGACATCATGGGAAAATCAAAAGAAATCAGCCAAGACCTCAGAAAGAAAATGATAGACCTCCACAAGTCTGGTTCATCCTTGGGAGCAATTTCCAAACGCCGGAAGGTACCACGTTCATCTGTACAAACAATAGTACGCAAGTATAAACACCATAATGACCATCGTTATGTTGGAGGAAAAAGGGGGACGCTTGCAAGCCGAAGAACACCATCCCAACTGTGAAGGACGGGGGTGGCAGGATCATTCTGTGGGGGTGCTTTGCTGCAGGAGGGACTGGTGCACTTCAGAAAATAGATGGCATCATGAGGAAGGAAAATGATGTGGATATATTGAAGCAACACCTCAAGACATCAGTCAGGAAGTTAAAGCTTGGTCACAAATGGGTCTTCCAAAAGGACAATGACCCCAAGCATACTTCCAAAGTTGTGGCAAAAAATGGCTTAAGGACAAAAGTCAAGGTATTGGAGTGGCCATCACAAAGCCCTGACCTCAATCCTATAGAACATTTGTGGGCAGAACTGAAAAAGTGTGTGCGAGCAATGAGGCCTTCAAACCTGACTCAGTTACACCAGCTCTGTCAGGAGGAATGGGCCAAAATTCACCCAACTTATTGTGGGAAGCTTGTGGACGGCTACCCGAAACGTTTGACCCAAGTTAAACAATTTAAAGGCAATGCTACCAAAAACGAATTGAGTGTATGTAAACTTCTGACCCACTGGGAATGTGATGAAAGAAATAAAAGCTGAAATAAATAATATTATTCTGACATTTCACATTCTTAAAATAAAGTGGTGATCCTAACTGACCTAAGACAGGGAATTTTTACTACGATTAAATGTCAGGAATTGTGAAAAACTAATTTTAAATGTATTTGGCTAAGGTGTATGTAAACTTCTGACTTTAACTGTACCTGTCAGAACACAGAGGGTGTTCTTTAATGATAGTCTCTCTAACATAATCCAGGTAAAATCAGGAATTCCACAGGGCAGCTGTCTAGTCCCCATACTTTTTTCAATATTTACTAATGACATGCCACAGGGTTTGAGTAAAGCCAGTGTGTATATGTATGCGGATGACTCAACACTTTACATGTCAGCTACTACAGCGAGTGAATTTACTGCAACACTTAACAAAGTTCAGGAGCAAAAAAAATATATATATATATATATATATATATATATATATATATATATATATATAATATAATTATTGTAAAATTAACTGTGTCCATAAGGTGTAGATAGTAAGTATAGACCGGAAGTAGAGGCCTGGGCATTGTTGTTCACTAATTTACTCCATGTAGGGAAAGGATGGCGGGGTTGAAAAGTAATAAAGGGGAGTATATATATAAAAAACATGGGGGATTGGAAGTGATGCAGACAATTACATTGATAGAAGATACAATCTATCTGCAATATTAAGCTGATCCATCCCCCCCCTAAAAAAAGAAGAAGAAAAAAAGAGAAAAACAAAGAGCTGCGATCAGTTTCAGAATGGGTGGCAAAATAAGTTAGTCCCAGATATTTCAAAAACTAAAAGCATTGTATTTGGGACAAATAATTCACCAAACCCTAAACCTCAACTAAATCTTGTAATGAATACTGTGGAAATGTGGAAGTTGAGGTGACTAAACTGCTTGGAGTAAACCTGGATTGTAAACGGTCATGGTCAAAATATGTAGATGCAACAGTAGCTAAGATGGGGAGAAGTCTGTCCATAATAAAGCGTTACTCTGCCTTCTTAACAATACTATCAACAAGGCAGGTCCTACAGGCCCTAGTTTTGTCGCACCTGGCTACTGTCCAGTCGTGTGGTCAGGTGCCACAAAGAGGGACTTTAAAAAATTGCATTTGGCTCAGAACAGGGCAGCACGGTTGGCCCTTAAATGTACACGGAGAGCTAACATTAATAATATGCATGTCAATTTCTCATGGCTCAAAGTAGAGGAGAGGTTGACTTCATCACTACTTGTTTTTGTAAAAAGTATTGACATGCTGAATGCACCGATCTGCCTGGTTAAACTACTAGCACACAGCTCAGACACCTATGCATACCCCACAAGACATGCCACCAGAGGTCTCTTCACAATCCCAAAGTCCAGAACAGACTATGGGAGGCACACAGTACTACATAGAGCCATGGCTGCATGGAACTCTATTCCACATCAGGTAACTGTTGCAAGTAGTAGAATCAGATTGAAAAAACAGATAAAAATACACCTTATGGAACAGCGGGGACTGTGAAGAGACACTCACACAGGCACAGACACACGCATACACATGATGACATATGCACTCTACACACACGTACACATGGATTTTGTATTGTAGATATGTGGTAGTAGAGTAGTGGCCTGAGGGGCACACACTTAATATGTTGTGAAAAGTGTTATGAAATGTAATGTCATGTAATATTTTTTATTGTATATAACTTCCTTAATGTTGCTGGACCCCAGGAAGAGTAGCTGCTGCCTTGGCAGGAACTAATGGGGATCCATAATCCATAATAAATACAAATACACATAAACAAACATATACTGTTGCAAATAAACACCCCCCCCCACACACACACACACACACACACACACACACACATGCATGCACACACGCAGGCACACACACATACACAAAGGACTTATGCAAACAAACACATCTGCATACAATATGCACAGACTGACATTAGTCTTCACCCACACAGAAACAATATCTTTGAAGGGTACCCTTTCCATTTGTGCTAATCCACACACAGTGGGAAGCACAGTGCGTAATAAACATTAGTAAACAGCCAGCCAGCCTCACTCCCACAAAACCTGTCACTGCAGACTGGCAACACACACCAGCTTTACGACTGAGGCGGGAGAGGGTTGGGGGGGGGGGGGGGGGATAGACTTAGTAGGGAGGAAAGAGAGGGATGAGGACATGGGGGGAGGGAGGGATGGGTGAGATAGAGAGGAGAGTGTGATGAGTGGGAAGGGGGGTTGTCTGGGTAGTAGAGGGAGAGGGGGGGGATCACAGGAAGGGGGTTGGCACAGAGGATGTCTGCTGAGGATGGGGTGCAGAGAGAACATGAGGATGGGAGGTGCAACATGGAATGGGGGCGAATGACAATTTAACCCTCTACATTCAGGAAATCATTTGACCTTCTCTTTACAAATAGGTAATTTCCCCCAATTTCACATTTTTCCATAATGTTCTCAATTTATCAGTTGAATTTGAATTTTTTCCTGTATTGACTGAGATGAAATTATATTGACAGTTGGCAACTGATAAAGACACAGATGAACATAATGGGGATTTGTATGTGTCATAATTTGTATATGGTACGTAGAGAATAAAAAAGATAAAGTCTAAGTGTGTATTCAGAGTGGGGCTCACTGGAAGAAGGAGGTAGCACAGTGCTCTAGAGGCATTCTCTTGTAGCGTAACTTCCTCAGGTCCCTCCGGCTCAGCTTTCCATCCTTGTTCTTGTCCAGCAGGGCAAACCTCTGCTATACAATTCAGGAGAGAGAGGAGACATCTAAGTAGAGGAATATTGAATGACAAGAATGAGCTATACAGCTCAGGCTCTCCTAATGCCAATTTACCTAAAAGGAGGATGGACAGAGTCTAGAGAGGGAGGGAGGGTTAAAGATGTGGTTTGTTGAATAGATAAAGGTAGGGCGACAGGTCAGGAAGGCAGGGATGAGGATATAAATTACCACCCAGTTATCTTTCTTATTTAATAATTTAGTGATTATTGACTAAGTCTATTTATACTGGGGTTCCTGAATGCCCCCTCATTCCGAGTAGTGGAAGCCCACACAATAAGCTACACAGGAGCTTTTTAACCTTAAATGACATCTGCTCCCGGTAACTGTAACAATTTCATACCACAACACAAATCATAGTGCTCTTGTGCCAAAGTGCTCTTTAATTTAGTTAGTGATAAGTGTAATCAGGTGCGGTAGAGCTTGCGAACACTGCAGCCCTCCAGGACCAGAGTTGCCCAGCCCTATTCCTCTGCCTTGTCTGTTACCTGGGCTAGTTGGGAGCGCTGGGCGTGGCTCAGGCAGCTCTGGGGCGGGGAGTAGGGGGCGTAGGACTCTCCCATGCGACTCAATAGGAGGAACCAGTCCATGAGGCGGTATGGGAACTGGCCATACTCCTCCTCTGTGCAGTTTGCCTTGGGAACTTGGAAACAAACATAAGCAAGCATGAAGTGGAAACTGGACTTGAAGAAGGCTTATTATGTAGGTACAGTACTGCAGTACTGTGTGTGTTTGTGTATCCTACCCAGACAGGGCCCTATATGAGCCATTCCAATGTGACGTCTCTTGCGGCAGGCTTCTCTATGCAACAGACACTCGTTCCCATAGGTCTTTCCCAGAACACTGCACACTGGTGCCCCCTGCCTGCACACACAAGTAATTACAAGCATGATGACTAATACTGTAGTCAGTGTAATGCACGTTTCTGTTTCACTTGAATACAACTGAATGAAGTTAGTGGTGTGGTCCTACCGTGGGCAGGTCTTAGGACACACACACTTTGGGAAGAGGACTCCGTTGTCCTGAACCACCTGGCACCAGGAGCCCATTGGACTGTGACACTTCAGAAGCTCACATAGTAGGACTAGCATATGGAGAGATGGAGAGATGGAGAGGAAGGAAGGTAGGTGGAAGAGACTGTCATGCTTTGAAAAAAAAATCAGTGGATGCAGAACTACAATGGGGTTATTTGCAGTCTAAAGATCAATGATTATTAAACATCAAATTTGACTATAAATGTATGAAAATGTTAAAATATATGTTTATTTTGGGGAATTAAAACCATTTACTTGTGTTACAAAAGGTTGATAAAAGAGAAAGTGTTACTGCTTGATAGAAAGTGTCTCTTTGCAATCATTACCAATTTGGCACTTTTAGGGTTAACCCTTAGTAAACCTTTGAAAAATGTGTGTTTGACCAGATACAATGCAATTTTACAGTAAACAAAATGACAACAGACTTTCAGCACGCTTATAGGGAAGGACATTCAACAAGCATGGCACTTACACAAATGACTGATTGGCTGAGAGAAATTGATGATCAAAAGATTGTGGGAGCTGTTTTGTTAGACTTCAGTTTGGCTTTTGACATTATCGATCATAGTCTGCTGCTGGAAAACGCATGTATTATGGCTTTACACCCCGTGCTATATTGTGGATAAAGAGTTACAGTTGAAGTCGGAAGTTTACATACACTTAGGTTGGAGTCATTAAAACTTGTTTTTCAACCACTCCACAAATTTATTGTTAACAAACTATAGTTTTGGCAAGTCGGTTAGGACATCTACTTTGTGCATGACACAAGTAATTTTTCCAACAATTGTTTACAGACAGATTATTTCACTTATTATTCACTGTATCACAATTCCAGTGAGTCAGAAGTTTACATACACTAAGTTGACTGTGCCTTTAAACAGCTTGGAAAATTCCAGAAAATGATGTCATGGCTTTAGAAGCATCTGATGGGCTAATTGACATCATTTGAGTCAATTGGAGGTGTACATGTGGATGTATTTCAAGGCCTACCTTCAAACAAAATAAATCAGCCAAGACCTCAGAAAAAACATTGTAGGCCTCCACAAGTCTGGTTCATCCTTGGGAGCAATTTCCAAACGCCTGAAGGTACCACATTCATCTGTACAAACAATAGTACGCAAGTATAAACACCATGGGACCACGCAGCTGTCATACCGCTCAGGAAGGAGACGCGTTCTTGGTGCGAAAAGTGCAAATCAATCCCAGAACAACAGCAAAGGACCTTGTGAAGATGCTGGAGGAAACAGGTACAACAGTATCTATATCCACAGTAAAACGAGTCCTATATCGACATAACCTGAAAGGCCGCTCAGCAAGGAGGAAGCCACTGCTCCAAAACCGCCATAAAAAGCCAGACTACGGTTAACAAGTGCACATGGGGACAAAGGTCGTACTTTTTGGAGAAATGTCCTCTCGTCTGATGAAACAAAAATAGAATTGTTTGGCCATAATGACCATCGTTATGTTTGGAGGAAAAAGGGGGTCGCTTGCAAGCCGAAGAACACCCATCCCAACCGTGAAGCACGAGGGTGGCAGCATCATGCTGTGGGGGTGCTTTGCTGCAGGAGGGAATGGTGCAATTCACAAAATAGATGGCATCATGAGGAAGGAAAATTATGTGGATATTTTGAAGCAACATCTCAAGACATCAGTCAGGAAGTTAAAGCTTGGTCTTCCAAATGACCCCAAAATGACCCCAAGCATACTTCCAAAGTTGTGGCAAAATGGCTTAAGGACAACAAAGTCAAGGTATTGGAGTGGCCATCACAAAGCCCTGACCTCAATCCTATAGAACATTTGTGGGCAGAACTGACAAAGCATGTGCGAGCAAAGAGGCCTTCAAACCTGACTCAGTTACACCAGCTCTGTCAGGAGGAATGGGCCACAATTCACCCAACTTATTGTGGGAAGCTTGTGGAAGGCTACCCGAAACGTTTGACCCAAGTTAACCAATTTAAAGGCAATGCTACCAAATACTAATTGAGTGTATGTAAACATCTGACCCACTGGGAATGTGATGAAAGAAATAAAAGCTGAAATAAATCACTCTCTACTTTTATTCTGACATTTCATTCTTAAAATAAAGTGGTGATCCTAACTGACCTAAGACAGGGAATTTTTACTAGGATTAAATGTCAGGAATTGTGAAAAACTGAGTTTAAATGTATTTGGCTAAGGTGTATGTAAACTTCCGACTTCAACTGTATATATGTTGGCGCTTGTCTCACCTGGGTCCACTCTACCTAGATATGGTCTCAGACTGTTCTCAGCCTGCCTTTGTTTGCGCTGGGCTCTGCCTCCCTGAAACACACAGAATTCGGGAGCAAAAAGAGACAGACCGCTCTGTTATCAGTTTGTAACATTGAATAAACCCAGAACATGTGTTTGTCTTTTCATGCTGTGTTCTTTGAAACCGCTGTACTAGTATAGCATATTTTAGCGCCTAGCCACTCAACATGAGTTGATAACTTAACTTCTCTGTTTTGGAGAAGGACTTTTGTGTTGAATTATATGTTGGATGGTTGGGTTCTCAGACAAATAGAGGCCAAGCAACAGTCAGAACCTCTCCCAAATTATTAGATTGATCTTCAACCATGATAAATCTGTACATGCCTGACAGTCTGCCACTGATAACAAATCATTTCAAGCCAATCCAAGTCCTTTCACTGTTCATATTGAAGCTATGTGAATCGATGACTTGTCTCCTCTATAACCCCTGTAGTGTATGAAAACCTGACTGGCACAGAACAGCCCCCCTGGGAGGGGGATGCTCCAAACCCCCCAACCCCAAATTCCCACTATCCTCAATCCCCTACTATGGTCTTTGTAGTCTGAGCCAGACCCACATCTGCCCTGAACCTACGCCCTGTTCTCATGAGAAACAGATGCATTCCCACTGGGCACACACTGGTTGAATCAACGTTGTTTCCACGTCATTTCAATGAAATTACGTTGAACCAACGTGGAATATACGTTGACGTCTGTGCCCAGTGGGTTGTGACCCAAAATACTGGGGCCTCAGCTCCTTCAGCTCCTTCAGCTCCCAAAGCCCAATTGTTTCATTAGTCCATTGTTGATGTAGTCCCAAAAATGTTCAGCATGTCAGCAATCAAGTTTTCAAGATATATCACTTTAAAAATACAGAAATACAGCCGGTATGATATCATATGATATCTGTATTTTGAAAGTTATATATCTTGAAAACTTGATTGCTTATATGCAACATATTTATGGACTATATTAACAAATACCAAAAGATAGTTTTTGGGTGGAGTTTTCCTTTAACATTAATTTATCGCCTAACAACTCCAACTTAATTCCATCTCAATAACAAACAGAGGAATGCTGATCATCCTCCAACTCATTCAAACATGTGGGACAATTTCTCAATGTGTATGCTACATGAAAAGTTGTCCTATTTCAGTAAAGACCTACTATTTTTCCTTCAGTTGTTTTGACATACCAAGTGATTTCCTCAGCTATACACACATTTTTACCAGGTGCCTGGCTGGATATAAAAGTATGCGTTGACGTCTATGAACATTCTTCAAGGTATAACAGTCCCAACTTTCCATCCCACTTGGGACGTACTTAGTGAGATCAAAAATGTAAAACGTTGCAGATAGATATATAATGAATAAAGCTGACAACATTCACTATTCTACATGACAGACGATAGACTGTGACAGACAAACAATTATATCTGTTCTACAATCTTCTGTAACATTTCTGTCTGAACCTTCTGTAATAATGCACTCTTCTGAAGAGGTCCCAGCCTCCTAATGTAATGAGGAGAAAGGTTATACTCACCATGGCCAGGTCAGGGTGAAAGGTCAGGACCAGCAGAAAGAGCAGGTTCATAGTCAGGAGCATGGTCAAGTGTCAGGCTGAACGCGAGAGAAGGGAGTTTCTAACAGTCCTGCAGGAGAAATAAACCAAACAGAACTATTTCACTGACATGGCCAATTTATGTATACTACTTGTATATCAAATTAATTAAATAAAACGTTTCCTTTTATATGATTCACTGTAAAATAACCCTTACTGAAGAGTGAAAGAGAAATATAACTTTGAGATTGTTAATTTATCCAGATATGCTTGGACAACAGACACAACTTTTCTTATTTGGTGTAATTTCCCTCCATTATTTACCAGTCATTCTAATAATCCAGGAAAAAACAATGAGGCTCAGTTAGAAGAAAGCAATAATTTCCAATTACTGTGCTGTAGGAGACAGATTGAGTTACATGGAGAGGAAGACATTAGACATCAACAGAGGAAGTCATTATATGGAACAAGTCATTTTCCCCCACTGCTTCAGAAATCTTACCAGAGTTTCACTTGCTTCGATCCTCCGTTGCTATTCCCTTGTTGTTCTGCGTCTTGCCAGCTGCATACCCTTCCCTCTCCTTTTCACCTGTTCCTTAAAGGTATCTGTTTTCAAATTCTGCTGCCTATACTTTCTCCCTCCTTTTATTTGATCTCCTATTCTTACAATCCTGCCTTATCTGCCCCTCCTCTCCCCTCCTTTCTACCTCCTCCTCTTAATCTTCAGTTCACAATAGCCCCCTGTTTATAGGCCACATCAGCAGACCAAAATACTCAGAGACAATATATGCACCTTCAGTCAGTCAATCAATTAGACGAAAACAGAAAATGCCATTCAGACATACAGTAGGTGTTGTGAGAGGGTTTGTTAGAGGGTTTAACTTTACCTATGATGTAAAGAAAAGGACGAGAGAGAGAGAGCGAGAGAGAGAGAGAGAGAGAGATATATTGGCTGAATCCATGTGTGCTCTGGCCTGTAAATGTATGTGTCTGTGAAGGACTGCCAGCCTCAATGAGAACCAGTTCCTCTTTCCCCATAGCCGTGGAAAGTAGGTGTGCTGAGGGTGCTGCAGCACAAACCTGAAAAATCGGAAGAAAAAAACAATTACTAGTCCTGTATTAGTCAGAAACAACAGGTGTAGACTAACAGTGAAATGCTTACCCTTCCCAACAATGCAGAGAGAAAGAAAATAGAGTAATAATAGAAATGTAAAAATCAAATAAATAAA